CAGCGAAGGGTATTCCTGTCCAAGCCATGGACTGGAAGTCTCTCCCTTTACAGAGGAAACCCAGGGAGACCAGGCTCCCCTACAGTTACCCCTTGACAGGTGTCCAAATCTCCCCAAGATTTCAACTAGCTTCACAGGTATTAGATGAATTTTTTGACTCTCTACAGACTAATATAACAAAAAGTAGGACTGGAGATAAACACTTTGTAATGTTATATTTTTAATTCTTTAATTATAAAATAAGGTTTTTCCTAGCTCACAATTTATTTTTAATGGTCCTTTTTTGTACTGGTCACATTTGCATGACATGTTTATAAAATATTGCAAGAATACTTTTGGCAGATTAAACTATGAAAAACAACACAGAAAACCTTTGTGCAGTACTGTGACATGAAAAGCATACCTCAAAGTCCATGAATCTTCTGTACCTAGCGAGGCAAAGACGTACAGACAGTGCCACATACTGTGAATTAGTAAAGTAAACAAGCTAACGCAATGCATTACGTCCAAAATTTCTCCCATAGATGCAATACATGTCATTTTTTTTTTCCCTCTGTCATATTTCAGTCCAGTAGAGAAAAACTGCCAAAGGCACATTCCATTTTGGCAGAATTGGTCACTATTTCTAGGGAAGACTTTTTTAAAAAAAAACAAATGTCTTCCTTTTATATAAAGTCAGTATAACTACATATGGCCAGTCACTGCATTTCTAATATGGTATTTATACATTGCAAAAGCCTTCAGTCTATTTCTTTTCTGCCACTACCAGTCTTTCTTAATAATATTTTAATTAAGTGAACTAAGTCTCCTTAAAACAAATGAACAGAGGTCAGTAAAAGGTCATGTTTCCACTTACATACTCAGTATCTATTTTTCATTTTAAACAAAATATATTTAAAAGATTAAGTTGCTATAGAGCCATAGAGGGCACAAAATACATCAAAATGCTAAACAAAACCTAATTGCTTTCAGCATTTCCTAGGCAAATGAACGAACTCAAAACCAAACAATTAATATGTTCTAAATATACTTTATGACACTCACCTCATAAAAATAAAAATAAGCAAATAATGGGAAAAAACACTTCATGGACACTACAGTTGCGTACTGTGATCCCCTAGCTAAGGGAGTCACTATGGCAGCCAAAAGGATGACACTCAGAGGTCATTTTCATAGAACATCTAATGTTTCATGCATTATTTAGGATTGCCACATCTGAAAACGCTTTCATAAGAATGGCTTTTTTATTTTGCCCTGAACAGAACCATTTGTCAACGTGTCACAAAAATAAATGAAGAGCGGCTGCTTCTCTTCCCAGAAACCAGCGGTGCTCATTAGACACACGTCCCTTGCTAACAACTTGCAAAGACAGAAGCCAAATCCAAGCCCACAGAGCAGAGCAGGCTGGGGAAGTTAAAGGCTGATCTGCTGTTCGTACTTTTCAGAAGAGGTTCCCTTCCAACTCCTGTGCTGCATCTTTCTCCTTTTAGTATTGCAGCTAACTAACAATGCTCATCAACGATGGTTTACGATCTAATTTATAAAGAAGCTGTGATGAAGAATGAAATTATTTTATTAGAGGTTCATACTTTTTAAAACAAACAAAAAAACCAACCATGGAGCACATAGGCAATGCTTGCTAAAGTTTCACCTACAGTATTTGATAAATTACATGCTCAAAAGATATGTATTTTTTTTAATTTCCTCAGCCCCCAAGAGTACAACATATGGGATCTTGGTGTAAGGGTCTGTCTTCACGAGCACTGAAGTCGACAATTTATTCGTTAACACTTCAAAGATATTTAATGTGTTTTTCTTTTCCCCGTACCTGGCAAATCATCCGTAGCCCTATTTGACAGAAGGAGGACAAGAACACGGAAACTCCACGGCTCCGTACCCGGCTGGTACCCAGCTCTTCCCCCCAGTCCGGTGGCGGGCGCTGCCAGGACAGCACCTCCCGGGCCAAGTCCAACGGGGGAACGCGTGACAGGGCTAGCGCAGCGCCCGGGTATTTCTAGCCCCTGTAGCAAGCCTGAAACACCTTCCTCTCCAACTTCCAATACGTGGTAAGTAACTTTTTGCAGGCCTGCGTGGTCCCTATCTCCTCCCAGACAGCATCAGCCAAGGCCGACAGACTCCTGCCAAAGCTCGGACTTTTCCACGCTATCCCTTTTCCGAGAAAGGAAAATGATTATAATCTGGTTAAGCATCTCTCACACAATGTCTCAACAGCTGGAGACATCAGAAAAAGAAACTTAAATCAGTTAGTTAGCCTAGGTGGTAGTTTTTGATGTCTGTTTTATTCCTCTTTGTTAGAAGGATGGTTTAGGCAAAGGCTAGCAGCTGGTTAGTCTTCCAGCTGTGACCATGAAGGTGTAACCACTGCCCTTGCCTCATCACAGCCCAGCTGGCAGCTTCCCCCCTCCATGGGCTGCCCTCTCTGAAGGCTGGCTGATGCCAGCTATTACCTGGTGAGGTGATTTCTAGGGATGCTGACTTAGCAGGAGGCGGCAGACAGTGAAGTAGCACCATCAGCAACTGCCACATGAAGCCTAACAACAAAAGCGGTCACTCAATTTTACAGTACGACAGGGAATAAAAAAAAATTTCTATGCTGTAATGTTCAGACAGAACACATATGGGTTTTTTACTGTAACAAGTGAGATAATGAAGAGGTATAGCCTCAAGAGCTGTTAGTTTGAGAGCATTAATTTTGTCTCTTTGCCTAGTCATATGCAGTGTCAGCATTAATATATGCTGATCTCCTGGCCACTTCAGCTCTGCCAGTACAGGAGATGCATCTGTTTGTATGGGAGGCACACAAACATCATCATCTGGCTGGAAATGAGAGTAGGAAAAGTCAGATTACTGCGGCTGAGCATTCATCGTGTGGGAAACTACCAGCACAGCTCCAAACAGATGCTAATACGAAACAGATCTTAAAACAAGACCCTGGTTTTTCTCCAAGAGGTCTATCAGGTCCATCAAAGGCAACGTATGCGGCACACTTTCCAATCCAAACACTGCAGAGATGTCCGTCTGTAAAAGGGCAGGAGAAGAGGAAACAATCTCCTTGCTCCCCCTGTCAGTTTCAGGAAGAATCAGAATAGTTTTGTGGTTCTTGAAGATTAACGGTTGTTTCAGAGACCCTACAGTACCTAGGCACATCAGGTGCACTGGCTGTGGTTAAAGTTTTCAAGAACAAAAGTTACCTTCCTTCCAAAATTTCTGCCTTTCACCTTCCTAAGGAAACCTACCCAGTGACCTTTAAAGCTGTCCTAGAATGGTCACTATTTCCTTACGGTACTTGCAGGCAAAAGGTTAAAATGCTCAACAACCATGGAATGCTATCAAGGGGGCTGATCTTCCTCAAGGTGACCGACCGACAGGCAATTTCTCTTGACACTGGACAGAACAGCAACACAGACTGAGGAGCACTCTTAATGTAAAAGCAGGAAGCCAGCAGAAGGTGCATGAAGTATGAAACTTCCAGCATCCACCTGTGCTGTGGCCTCTGCCAGGACAGGTCCCCACCGCCCCGAAGGACCAAGTCAGCGGTGAGGGAGGTGTTGGAGAAGGGTGCATATAAACACACAGGGGAGGTTGGAGAGTTACGTCTGCTCCACCTCCAAGCTGTAGTCCATGAAACCCCACCGAGTATTCTTCGCTCGGTAAAAAAATGACCCTGTTCAATACCACCATCAAACTTACTGCCACGGCAACAGGAGCAGCCCCCTGTGGTGAGATGTACTTGCTCATGATGAGGTCAGAGTAGTGATGGCTCCTGGGGAAATGCTGAAGTGAGCGGACACCGAAGTCAATGGAAACAGCGGCAGAGGGAGCAGGAGGAGCCAAGATGCAGGTGGTGCCCAAAATGCCAGGAGAGAACCAAGACGAAGAGGAGTCAATCTCATCTGCCTCTGGAGAGCAGCAGAGAATAAGCAAAGGCCACTGAAATGGCCCACGGGAAGATCATGCTTCACTGTATGCATTGAAGTCTGAGAGCTGCTGAGAATAAAAATAAAACACCTCCTCCATGGGCTCCAAAAACCACCAGACACCGTTGGATACTTCTTTCGTGATCTGATACACCATTTTTGAACACCTGGCTCTAGCGATACTGTGTCTGTTGATGCCTAAAATCAAAGTATCTTATTCTTACCAGTCCATTCAGACTGTCGGGCTGCTTTGCTTACGTCAAATCCCTGTAGCATTTCTCTGTGGAAGACGACTGAATTTCTTTAGGACTTTAGCGGCAGGGTTCATACAATCCTTTCCTTACGGCTGTCTGCCCTGGGACACTTCTCAGGCTACCGGCGCTCTAAAGGGGCATCAAAGCTTGTGGAACTGCCACCGGGCGGGAAACCAACGGAGCAGCAAGCTCACACGTACGCATCCCCATGGAGGGGTGCGAGAAAGGGAGAGACAATTCGCAGCCAAGCAGTACGTGATTTGAAATGTCATTATGAGACATATCAAGTGTTTAAAGGTAATTTGCAGTGTCACCACCTAAAACTGTACTTGTTACCATAATCATTTCAGCTAAAAGTTATCTGAGCGCAGCCCAGACCCACATGTCCCCCACAACACGCTAATGAATAAACTGAACAATTCATGTTTCCTATCACTTTATGCACTAAAGGTTTAATTAATCAATTCCAAGGGCTAAAAAAGCAAAAGGGAATACAACACAACAGAGCAAGGCTAGAGATAGTAAGTACCAGCATAGACTACTTTTAATCAGGTCCCCGAAGAAAAGCGAAAATAATAGGAAATGAAAAGTCATGAATGAAAGTCTACAGTTCTGCAATCCATTCGATAATAAGTTACACAGTGCAAAAGAAGAAGGTATCAGAATAAAATTCCCTACTGTTGCAACCGGTACAACTCAGTGTTAGTGTCAGTCTAAAAACTCCCCAAACCAAACCCAACCAAACAAAGAGCCCTTCAAGCCCTTCTACCTCCAAAAAAACCCCCAAAACAACCAAACAACCCCCCCCCAAAAAAAAAAAAACAAACAAACCAAAAAGGCAAGAAAAACTCCAAAACCTCCTGGTTCTGAGCAGCCAATGGAAAACATCTTAACAGATTTGCTGGGAAGAAAAATAATTAAGAATTTTGGAAGAGTCCATGAGAAACACCATTTCTGTATGTTCTCTTCCTCTCTGCCATGCCTTTTAATACTAAAAGGCGAGATAACTTTGTTTAGGTGTAAAGCTTATTTCAGAACTTTACATTTCACACTAAATACGAGTGCTTGCTGCCCTAAACCACCATAGCCATGGCAATCAGAACTCTTGATCTACTTTGCTCAGTACACGTCTCTGTAAGACTCTTCTCCCAGTTTTGTATCACTTTTCCAACATTCAACTTTCAGGTTATCTTTTTTTTTCTGCTGAGGATTTGCTATAAATCCCCTCTCCACACTGATTAGTTCATTAACTTCTGACTTCAGCAAGTTTCTATCCCACATCAGCATTCCTTTACTAATAACTGATATTCGAGCTTTGCTAAATTATTCTTGTGTCCTATCAATTGCATTGTTCAAGTGCAAATAAACATTATTAATTTCCCTTGTCTGTAAAATAATTTTTAGGAGGATGAGTGTTAAGCAGTTTGCATTTAGAGGTGACCAGGTAACACAGAAAGAGCATGGAGAATTGGTGCTAGAACCCAGAACTTCCCCATTTCTTTTTTCTTCTTGATGTGTTTTGTTGTTTTTTTGCTGATGCTCTTTCTTTCGGGCCCCAGAACTCTCCTCTTGCTCTCCTAATCAACTGCCATGGTACCAGATATTCTTCCCTCTACTGTCAGTCACTTGAGATCTTTAAGTTGTCTCCACACAGCCTCAAGTGGAAAGCAGCAAGATGTGTTTCCTTGATGGGGATCCTGCAAGAGCAGTCACTTGCAGTTCAGGTTAAGGACATCACAACCCAATCGAGAATATTAATGTACTGACATATTGTGAAAACAGTGGCTTCTCTATCAGAAAAGCAGGAGTCACTTTTTCAAGGAAAGCCACTACTGATCTCCTGGACAGGACAAAATCTGAGTATTTGGTCTTTTCAGTCCGATGAGAACTTTTCAGACAGGGTAAAGATTCAATGAGTCAAAGCAACAGATGGCAAGTGACAGGCTATATGAAACTTCCCAGCCACTAATTCCCACTTTCCCACTTCCCAACACTAATTTTATAATACTCCAGATCATCCTAATCTCAACCTCGGTCATTTAAAATATATCTGTATCACTCCTGTTTATCCAGATCATATTCATTCCTTACCACCAGATTGTAACTTTAAAAAGTGTTTTTAACCTTTTATTTTTCTGAACTTAATTAGCTTTAATTAGCTTCTCATGTCAAGAAAATATTTTAAGTGGATCCACACTCATTTAAGCTAAAAAATCTTTCAAAGCATTTAGTCACATTTATTGTGCTTCATATTGTATGCGGTACCATTAAACGTTTGAAGTAAGAATCAAAATCATTACACTAACTGCATGGCTCTGTTATTAAAAATAATTGGCTGACAAGTTGCAAAGGTCCGTTTTAAGCAGTTTTGTAGCTACCGTTCATGGCAAGGCGCCTACGCCAAAGGCTTTCTGACTGACAGTCAATTATTTCTCCTTTTCATCCAGCCGTTGGATCAACAGTGGTTCCAGATACTGGACAGCTTGTCACAGGACTTGCAGCTGTGATACTCAGCTGAGATAACATTAACTCACAAATGCCATAAATTACACTTGCGTATGCATTTACAGACACGTCTATCAATCTAAACACGTACAACAGACAGACACCGCTGTTGTCGAGGGAAACCTCTCTCTTCAGTATCTGCTTTCACAGACGCTGTGAGAGCCGTATGAAACGCTACTGAAATGGCATTCTGGTTCACTGAAAGGGACAGCTTTTCCAGATAAAAAAAACCCTGAAGTTGTCTTTTTCAGACTAGTGTTGCTAAAGACATAATCCGTTTTGACAAATGCTTTAAGAAAAGTGTAAATGTCCCTTTTTTCCAGTCTGCTTCAATCTTCTCCTCTTTACCCACACATTGCCGTCTCCTATAAATCCATTTGTCCTGGGATCAGATAAAGATCTGTTTTTCTCAGTGCCAGTCACTAAGGGCTTGATCCTTACCCACAGCCAACAGAAAAACTCCTGATGCCTTCAACAGGCATTGACTAAGCATTAAAATCCTGTAAGTGTCATTAAAATTATGGCAGAGACAACAGGTTAATACGAATACAGGGAGCCCCTGCAGCCTGACTGAAATACCAGTGCCACTCTATAAAACCTTTCCGTTAACACCATTCAGATTTGGGAACTGGTTCTCTTTCTGGAAATGAGTAATACAATGTAAACAAAGACTCTTCTGGTTTCTCTTCCTAGCACATGACACATTTGCTTATGCAGAGTTTTATCAGTTTTATCCTTCAGTGCCTATTACCTATTTGAAAACCAAGATTTCTTTAAAACCAACTTTTCTTTAAAGTTTTTCTCAGTTTAGTGAACATTAAGTGCGCTGTCATTGGATCACATATTTATAAATGAATCAAGTCCCTCTTTGTTTGTGTCATCAAGGAAAAATCAACCAAAAATACAATCAAATTCATTAAGTATGATTAAATAGGAATATTTCCTACTGTATAGCAGGCAGTTGGAAGAAAAAACACCACATAATCTAATACGCACCTGATTTTCACCTGAGGAAAATATCCCCATTACACTTTTCCTGTGGTAGAGTCTCTATTATCAGTTATTCAGTTGTGTCCCATCAAACCCAGAACTTCACCTTTAAACTACTCACTATTACTTCAAGCAACAAATACTTTTACACAGCTGCGGCTCATCTTACAGATGAGCTATTTACAAGAAAGCAATGATGCTGACTATCTCAGATGGCAAGGCACAGCACAATACAGCTTAATTCTCAGATCTGCACTAAAAATTACGATCCAGGACCATCTGATTACACCATGAAGAGAGGAATAAAAAAAAAAAAAAGGACAAACATTACCTTGAAAACTCAGTAAGGTCAGATTAGGCAAGACTTGTATTTTTAAAGAAAAAATAATTTTGTTCCATCATCTTTTTGCAGTAATCCATGTTTTAAATTATGATATGATACTTTAAAGTAGTGAATATCCTGAAGAAGGAAAGGAGTTTTCCATCCAATTACCTAATAATTCCACAGAATTGAAAAAGGCTGAAAGACCTACGCTACCTTGGCAGAGCAGAAAAATGTGAAGTACCAAACATTTCTTCCAAAAGTACTTCTTAAAAAAGTTAATCACAATCCATGCTCTAATTACTCATGACCACACTTAAGATATTCCTTGGAGGATTTTGTAAACCAGATTATCAGATAATAAAGCAGCTGGCATCAAGTCGTCACATAAGCTTTTCTCAACAGTAAAAGGATTTTAATCAATACAATAAAATAAGATAATAAAGGATAAAGTGAAATCGGCATGAAAGGATTACTATTTAAAATGACAGAACAATCAAAGGCTCAGAAAATCCCCCACACTTCTGGAATCCTGCTGGAGACAGTACAGGTACTTTTCATTCCTGCACCAGCACACGCTGTTTCATTAACCACGTTGAAAAAGCTCCTGCATATTAAATAATGTACAGGGGAAAGTACCTTGCTCTTTCTCTTTCTTAAATGATCAATGAGAACAATGATGCTACAGTTTTATAAAGCCTTTAGGAAAATCAGGTTTCTGTCCCAATTCCAGCAAAACATTTGGTCAAAGTTTTTAAACATTGTCTGTAACCTCTCACTGCTTTTAATGGCTTTAGTGCTAGAATCTGTATTTTAAGCTTTTTTTTTTCCCCTCTCCTTTTTTTTTTTTTTTCTTTTTTGTATTTCCAGCTTTAGACTGGAATAGTATGGCATGGAGTATCTTGCAAGGA